GGGGGCGTCCCACGCTGTGTTTGAGCTTCGCGGACCACATGCCTCGCGGGCGTAGTCTTTTTCAAAAGCGCCCGCGAAAGGAGGCCTGGCTGGGTGGTAGGGCACATTTCTGGTTAGGGTTTTCAGGGAGCGGGGTAGCCGAGGCCGCGAGAACATAACATGATTCCAATCCAACACACCAGAACCGACAACGGCATTCGGGCGTCTTCATTGGCACTTCGCACTTCTGTCAGGATAGCCAAGCGTGGCGACGCGTCTCTCGGTGCCAGGGTTGGGCACCGTGCTTGCCAGTTCTTGGGGAATTGGACCGGGGGGACGGCGGTGGGTGTTGCGGTCGGCCTCTCGCCCGGCGCTTGTGGATGGAGCCCTGCGGCTGGGTCTTTTTACTTTTGGCTCCCGGCGGGTGAACAGGCGCCAGGGGGCGCCGAGCAGCTCACAGGGGCGGCGCATGAATGTGGAGCAGGCGACAGCCGCCGACGGGTGTACAGTTGCTGCGTCCGCTCCCGCCATCTCTGGCGGCGGGTTCTGTTGTGCACGTTTCGCGCGGGATTCGCCCCGGGGCTAGCTTAGTCCGCCCCGCCCCCCCCCCCCCCCGGCCCAGGGTGCTGAGGATGTGGGCGTGGCAGTGAGAGACAGAGAGACAGAGAGGAAGGGAGGGAGACCAAGGGCACGCATACGCGGATGACAGCCAATGCTCTCTCACCGAGGACCGGGAAGACTCGGGAGCTTTTCGGGTCCGGTGTGTTTGGCGGCGTGGTTGTGCGAGGCTGCCGCCTCCCTTGGCGTGCGGCAAATATCTTAGCTATAGACAAATTTGATGAGGCCGGATGGACGGCCTGCAGAGAAGCGCCACCTTTCTGTCTGTCCCGGGGTTGGGGGAGCGAGAGCCCGGGGAGCAGGCCCCCAGAGAGAGGTAACGGTGATGACCTTTGGTGTCTGGGCGAGAAGGCCCCGGCCGGGGGGGGGGGCGGCGGACATGCTCCCACCGCAGCCAGAGCCTCTGCCGTTGTGATGTGCGTGTGGCAAGGACCGGGGATGAGGGCCAGCAGCCGGGGGCTTGCGTGCTCTAGGCTTTGGCGTCACGCGCCGGCGCCGGAGCCCCTCTCACGTCCGGGATCGGCCGCGGTTGTCGCTTCGCCATTTGCCGGATATCGGGGCTTCGCCGCGGTCTGGCGGGAAAAAAAAAACGCTCCTTCCGATTGGCCGTCCTCGGTCGCGCCCGGGCGCTGTCCTCCAGGAGGCGACACATCGGGGTGTGCCGGGCGAGCGTGGGGGCCGTTTTCTGTCTTGCCGACGAGGGGCCCCGGCTGGCGCTGCATCCAACCCCGGAGTCTGATGCCGCCTGTACGCCCGGCGCATTGCTCGCGGGTGGGGGAATTTTTCTCACCCTCCCACCGGCGTGTTTTGCCCCCGCCCGGGGAATTGCCCCCCTTCTTCCCCACCCCCCTGTGGTTGGGGGCCCCTCCCTCGGTGTGGCTGCTTCCCCTCGCTCCTCGGCCTGCCCCCCTTCCCCCTGCATCGGCCGCGCATGTCCGGCTGGTGCTGGGTCGCACGTACTTGCCGGGGCTCGTATTTGTCTGTGCGTATGTGCTTCGGCGCCGGGTGTCCCCCTCTGGCCGTGTTTCGAGCAATGTGCAGAGGTGTAGCTGGGCTCTCGGCGCGCAGACATAAGCCTGATGAGAGCCTGTCTACGGGCTCCACGGCTGTTCAGGCACCCAGACCGGATGGATGCACTCGCGTGTGCCTGCTTGCTTCCCCCTCAGCCAGCTGCTGGACATGCCTGACACGCGCCTCTCTCTCTCTCTCTCTCTCTCTGGCTCTCGCTCGAAGGGAGTTGGCAAGTCGAGGGGGTGCGGGGGGGGGGAGGGGCTGCGACACCTGGACCGCGCCTCTCCTGTTCCAGCGAACACGGAAAGGGGGCGGGGGTATGGGCCGTGCTATCTCCCTGGCCGGGGGCGAGGGGCGGGTGCGGGGGGGGGGGGAAGGGTATCAGACACCCTCTTTGTTTCTGATCGGGTATTTGCGAGATCCCCTCCCTATGAACACGCCATCTCGCCCTCCGAACAAGGGAAAAGGGGCAGCCAGCGCTTGGGCCGCTGATTGGAGCCGGTTGATCTTCCGCCCGTCGATCCGAAGCCAGCCTGGCACAGCGGGGGGAGGGAGCAGGGGGCAACAGGCCGGGGTCTGGTGTCGAAGCGGGGGCAGTCTTCCATGTGTCAGGCATTCGTCTCTTGCAGGATGGTCCTCCCTCCGGAGGCCTTCCCCCTGGTGATGGGGGCTCGGCCGGGCCAGAGGCCATTTTCTGGTGGTGTTTTGAGCGCTGACTTGGAGCGGCCAGCGCGAGGGGTGGGGTGCGGATCTGTCATGCCGGACTTCGGTTGGGTAGGGAGGTCCCTCCCTCCCGCGGCCAGGCCAACCGCGTGTGATATCCCCTTCTGGGCGGGGAGGGGGGGGGGGCAGAAAGGGGGACTATCGGGGCTCCCCTTTCCCACCCTCCTGGATCCGGTGCTAATGGTCGGAGAATGCACGTCCGGAGATCCCCCGGGGTCAGGACTATCGCGTGCATCGGCTCCCCGAAAGAGCTCTAGGCTATCTAGGTGCATCAGGCAACTGATCACCATCCTCCCCCCTTCCACCCTGTCCCCTGCCCCCCCCCCCCCCCCCCCGCCCCCCGGCCTGCCCTCGGAGGTCTCCAGCGCGGCGAGAATTAATCCAGTCGTAGTTTCGCGCCCC